TCCATCCCCTCCTTGTTCCATCCCCTCCTTGTTCCATCCCCTCCTTGCTCCATCCCCTCCTTGTTCCATCCCCTCCTTGTTCCATCCCCTCCTTGTTCCATCCCCTCCTGCCCCGGAGCGGGCTCAGCCCCGCGGTTCCATCCCCTCGTGTCCCGGAGCGGGATCCCCTCCTTGTTCCATCCCCTCCTTGTTCCATCCCTTCCTTGTTCCATCCCCTCCTTGCTCCATCCCCTCCTTGTTCCATCCCCTCCGCGGTTCCATCCCCTCCTTGTTCCATCCTCTCCTTGCTCCATCCCCTCCTTGCTCCATCCTCTCCTTGCTCCATCCCCTCCTTGTTCCATCCTCTCCTGCCCCGGAGCGGGATCCTCTCCTTGTTCCATCCCCTCTTTGCTCCATCCCCTCCTTGTTCCATCCCCTCCTTGTTCCATCCCCTCCTTGTTCCATCCCCTCCTTGTTCCATCCCCTCGTGTCCCGGAGCGGGCTCAGCCCCGCGGTTCCACGCCCTGCCGCTGGCCCCGCGGGTCCCGCCCGGTGAGCCCCGCGCGGCTCCGCCACCGCAGCGCCCCACGCCGCGCTCCCGCCGGCCGAGGGCGGGACCCGGCGGCGGCTCCGGCCCTGCCCTCCCTCCATCCCTCCCTCCATCCCTCCCCTCCCTCCCTCCCTCCATCCATCCCTCCCTCCCTCCGTCCCTCCCTCCGTCCCTCCCTCCATCCTTCCCCCGTCCCTCCCTCCATCCCTTCCCTCCTCGGCTCCGCCCGTTCCTGCCCCGCTCCCGCCATCGCCATTCGAGGGCCGCGGCCGTTACCGAGCGGGGCGGCGAGAGCGGCTCCATATCCGAGCAGCGGGACCCGGAGCGGCTCCATATCCGAGCAGGTGAGCCTGGAGCGGCTCCGTATCCGAGCAGGTGAGCCTGGAGCGGCTCCACCGCCGAGCAGGTGAGCCTGGAGCGGCTCCATATCCGAGCAGGTGAGCCTGGAGCGGCTCCACCGCCCAGGCGGTGCTCCCCCGCAGCCCGAGGGGCCCGGCCCGGTGAGCACCGCGTGGTTCCGAGTCTCCTTTCTCGTCTTTCAGCTCGTCCCTGTCGCTGTGAGTCGCAGGTTCCAGGTGTGGATCCCTTTCCCGGCCACTCGTGCAGGGGACAGCCGGAGCTGTGTGTGCTCCAGTGCCCGGGGCTGCGCGGTAAAGAACAGGTAAATGCATGGCCGGGAGCCTCGACACGGTTACAAGGGGTGCAGAGTTACTCTTGGCAATGGAACCGAAAGATAGAGCGGGATATAGAATCATAAAATGCCCTGAGGGTTTTGGAAGGGACCCACAGTGACCCAAATTCCTGCCCTGGTTTCTCCCGCTTTCTTGAAGTTTGCTGTTAAAATTCCCAGCGCAGGTTCCTGTTGTAAATGTCTGCATTGCAATGCTGCCTGTACCGGTCTTGAAACATCTCTGAGATGGAGGCAGAGTACCAAAGTTGAGTGAAAATTGCTGTGGATTCCTTACAAGCCAAGGCTGGCACTGAATTGTTTCTGACTTTAAAGAGCAGAGAACAGCCCTGGCTGTGCCTTGGTTTGCACTCAGCAGTGCCACATCTGGAGAGTGCAGATGTTTCCTTTGCTGGCAGCTCTCGTTCCTGGGGGGGCTTTGCCCTTGGAATGGGCTCTCACAGCCATTATCCAATGCCAAATTCACCTTTTAAATCCTCACAGTGGCATGGGGTGGGATTGTCCCCTAAAGCAGTTATTCACCTACACGCTGGTGGTTGCTGGATTCCACAGCAGTGTCCGTGCTGTGGCAGATAAAACCAGCATTTCCCAGCTTCCTGCTGCTTTTTTTTTCCCCTGGAAAACTTTTCTGTTCTCTGCTGAACTCTATGGTGTCTTCTCTGTCCTTTCCGTTGTGTTCCCAGTCTGTTTCCGACCTTTCAATGCAGTCTGCAGGCAGAAATCAGTCAGTAAATGAACATTCATGAAATCCTGGAGCAGGGCAGGCCTGGGGCTGGCTGGGGCAGGACAGCTCCGTGTGCTGGGGAGGATGTTCCTCCTGCAGCTCTGAGGGCATTCCTGACACAGCCAAGAGACGTTTGGTGAAGGTTTTCCTTTTCTGGCAGCAAACAACTCCTTCTCTCACCCTTTCCATAGCTCAGGTAAGTTGGATGTGTGTTCTTTAGGAAGGAAATTTCCCTCCTGTACCAGTGTGGGAGCCCTGGTGCTGATCCTGAGCTTTTCCTCTCTTTCCTTCCTCTCCTTCAAAGCTGGAACTCCTGCTGCCATTAATAAAACATCACAGTTGATCATTTGGCCTCATTTCACCTCAATTTCAGCCCAGGGGCTCAGTCAGCAGCCCAGGCTGCCCGCCCTGATCAACCCTAGCCTGGCTAGGCCACTGAGATAAGCCAGGCTTATTTCTGTGCTGATGTAGCTCCCAAAGAACTGGGTCTGGCTGTTCAGCTCCTGCCTTCCCTCAGCCTGAGCCCAGCTGCAGATCTCACGTTAGACCCTGGGCTTTGATCCTGAATGCTCTGACAATTTCTGCATTGCAGCAAAGGCCACAGAGCTGGCTGGAACCGATGAACGGGGACAAAAGTGTGGCACAAAGAGAAGGAACTTTGGTACCAATTTCCCTGTTTTTAGCAGAAGGAAAAGCAGGATTGTAATTTGTTATGAAAACAGGCTGTAGTGTTACTTGTGACTTTGCAGTGCGATTTCACTTGGCTGGGAAACAGAACAAGGAAACGTTGCAGAGAATGGAAAGTGAAAGTTAATTTTTCAGTTTGGTGCTTAAAGCGACAGGAGTAATTCCTGGTGTGGTGTTGCCTCTGAGGGCTGCTGAGTTGGACTTCGTGTGCCAGAGCCTTGAGAGCTTCTCAGCGTGACTGTTTAGTGAACTTATAACTATTTCATGTTACAAAAGTAACGTTTGAAACAAGTGGGGGAAAGAAAAAAATCTGTACTTCTGCTTCCATTGAAAACGTTACTGCTGGAGGGAGAAAATTTCCATAGCTCTGAGGTTCTTCAGAAATTCTAGTTCTGGCTTTTCCCACTGGAAGCAGTTTTTAGTGGCAGATTGCTGCTTTTCCTGGGTTTTTAAGGGCTGGCTATGGATGATTTGGATACGGTTGGGTGAATGCTCTGAGTGCAGCTTGGGATTTCTGTGCTCCTTGAACCGTTGCTCACTTCCATCCTTTTTCCCCCCCAGGTGCTGAGGCAGGGAATTCCTGGTTAGGAGATGTGCTGCTGGGGCTCGTGGGTGACTGCTGTGAGCAGAGCTCAATCCCCGCTGCCTGTGTGTGTGGGGATATTCTCAGTTCAGTCAGAGAGAAAAAAGGAAAGATTTCTGCCAGGCTAAGCCTGGGCTAAAGTCCGAGAGGAATGTAAACAATCGATTATCCTGCTTTCTGTTCATATTGTTTATAGATATGTTCTACCCCACTGACCCAAGTCCAGTGTAGCAACCAGGTGAAATGCTTTTAAGACCAGTGGAATTAATGCTCACGGTGTTGTCTACAGAAGAGAGAAGCGCTTTGGAACAAGCTCCTTTTGCCTTGCGAAGTCCTGCGGGTCCTTGTGGCCGCCACGCGCGCGTGTGTGCGTGTCCCCGCAGGCCATGGAGCGGCTGGAGGAGGAGCTGACCTGTCCCATCTGCTGCGACACCTTCGTGGACCCACGGGTGCTGCCGTGCTCGCACACCTTCTGCGGGCCGTGCCTGCGGGAGCTCCTGCAGCCCGCCGCGGGCCTCAGCTGCCCCAGCTGCAGGGCTGCGGTGGCCGTGCCCGCCGCCGGCATCGAGGCGCTGCCCATCAACTTCGCCCTCAAGGCCGTGATCGAGAAGTGCCAGCAGGAGGAGCGGGCCGGCACCGGCAGCACCGGGACGTGCGGGGCGCACCCCCGGCAGCCGCTCAACATTTACTGCCTGCGGGACCGGCAGCTGGTGTGCGGCCTGTGCATCACCGTCGGCAAGCACCGCGGGCACAACATCGACGACCTCCAGAGCGCCTACAGGAAAGCCAGGGTGGCATCGGGGCAGCTCCTGGGGCAGCTGGCGGATCCCTGCCGCTCCGAGGTGTTCCTGCGCGCCGAGAGGCTGCTGCAGCAGAAGGCCCAGTGCCAGAGCACCCTGCAGAGTGACAGGGAAGCTGTGCTCAAGTATTTTAAGGAACTCGGTGATGTCTTGGAGGACAAAAAAGCAGCTCTGCTGAGTGCACTGAATGAACTCGACAGCCGCATTTTGGAGAAATACGATCCCCTCATTGAGGAGGTGGAGAAACTGAAGTTAGAAGAGATAGAGCTAAAGGAGCTGCACTTGGCCCTTGTGATGGAGGAGTCCCCACTGCTTTTCCTGGAGAAGATGAACGAGCTGCAGCTGCGGCTCCACACTCTCAGGCTGAGGCAGCTCCCGGAGCCTGAACCTGTGGAGATCTATCCTAGGATGAAGAAGGTGCTGCAGTACATGTGGTCTCCAACTGAAATAGGGCAGGTGCACAGGATCCGCACACCAAAGCTCAGCCTGGCTCGCAAAAGCTGTAGAAATCGAGCACTATCTGCTCTTCCTTCTCTTATACTGATGCTGACTTCACTTCTGTTGTTATGGCACAAGGACCCATATGGTTTTCTGCTGCTCCTGATTTCATTTGCGATGTTATGGTATGAGGAAATCTCATGTGACACCATCTCAGCTCCTCTGGCGCAACTCTGGGAATTCCTGCTGCGCATTTATCAGCATTTCTGCACCTACCTGCAGGCCCCAATGCAGGAGTCGGCTGTTTAGATTGAAAACCTCATGCAGCAATCCAGCATTATTTTCAGTTTCTACTTAAAAGCTGTATTGTTAAAGCTCTACACTTGTTCTGTTTCTGTATCCTCCCTTTTCTGTATTGCATGGATCCCCTCTGAACTACAGTTCTGATTCACTTCTGCTGAGGAGAGGCGAGTTTTGCCTTGATCCACAGCTGCGGAATTTCGGTCCTTAACATGCTGGAATTCTCTGCCAAAGATTAGGTGCACTGCTGAGCTTCTCCTGTAACTCTTGGCACTTTTGAATTATGTAGTAAATTACACTGATTCCTTAAATTGCTGTCTGTGTCTTTGGTGCTGCCCCTGCCCAACCTGATGCATTCTTATTTTCACCAATTTACATCCATCTCCCTTTCCTCAATTTTTTTGAATGACATTCAAAAACTGGAATTTATTGATGCTGGATTTATGTTAACAAGATCAAATTTTTATAACATTTATTTAGAATTTATAAACAAAACAAAGTCTATAATACAAAATGAAATCAGACAAATGATTAGACAGCAGCCAGCAGACAGCAGACAGCAGGGGCTGGAATTTGCTTCCTCCCTATGTTTGGGCTACACTGCCCAAAGGGAGACCAAGTTCCTCCAGTCCTTTCAGAGCCAGGATTTTGGGGTTGGTGGCCACACTTTTGGTGGTGTTCTGGGTTTTATAAATCCCAATTAATCTGTCTCCAATCTCAAACATGTTGTTCCGCAGGGAGATGATGATGAACTGGGCGTTTTTGGTTTGTTCCTGAAACAGAAGTGATTTGTGTTAGTGCCTGGCATTCCCAAAATCCCCTCTGTCCTGCTGTGGCACACAAAGCCAAGTTTAAAACTGCAGCTGCAGGCAGGGAACTTCCAAGTGTCTCCCTAATCTGAAGTAGCTGCTCCTAATCTTTGTCACTTCCTTCCAAAACTGCAGATAATAATAACTGAATATTCAGTGTTTAATTACCTGAACTGGAGCCGTGTAAGGGGTTTGCTTCGATTAAATGTGCTGAGGGCAAAAGTTTTAAAGGCATGAAAGAAATTAATTACTACTAATTAAGATATAGATAAAAGACACTGGTGGGAATGACATGGAAGTATAAATCCAAGGAAACTCAGGAAATCACGAGCCTGGATCCACGGAGACATCATTAACAGCTAAACTTGTGGATTCTGACAGCAGCCGATGGTTTTGGGGGAAGTCTGTGTGTGCCAGAGGGAGCAGTAAAACTGCAGCAGCCCAGACCTTAAATCTGCCAGGAATTGTGTGGCCACTTTGTCCCTTCTGGAGGAGGGGGAGCCCCTCAGGAGGATGAGCCATGAGGAACTTACATAGATGTAAAATGCTACGATGGAGACGTTCTTGAAGTCGAGGGCGGCGTCGATCTCGTCCATGAAATACAGCGGGGTGGGTTTGTAGTGGTGCAGGGCAAACACCAGGGCCAGGGAGCTCAGGGTCTTCTCTCCTCCTGACAGGTTGAAGATTTTCTTCCAGCTTTTCTTGGGAGGTCGGACGCTGGAACAGAGCAAGAGTTGGGTCTGTCAGGAATACTGATCTCTGCCTAGCTCAGCTGGGTAACACGGGGCTGTTCCTCACTGCCTTGCCCAGCTGAACTCCCAGTTCATGGATTTATCCTGGGAGCATTCTTGGCAGAACACTGCCATCATTCCCTAGGCAGAATGAAGTGACCTGGGAATTGAGAAGTGCTGGGAAATGAGTTCAGAGCTTACCAACTGCTTAGTTCCTGATTTCTCCAAGAGAAACAAATTAATCTGAGAGCTACAATGTTGTGGTTTCTGTCACTATTTGCCCACATTGTGCCCGTCTTGGTTCACTGATGGTCAATGAGCATTTGCTTTAAAAACAGGTTGAAAAAGGACTATGATTAAAAATTAATAAAGCATTTTGAAAACCTGAACATGATTCCCTCTGAGAACGGATCCAGACTGTCCACAAGCTCCAGCTCAGCATCCCCTCCCAGTGTGAGCATCTGGTAGTTCTCCTTCAGCTTGTTGGTGATGACATTAAATCCTGCCATGAATTCATTCAGCCTCTGTTTCCTCAGCTCTTCATAGGCCTCTCTGAATTTGTCCCTCTCACTGGTGATGTTGTCCAGTTCTTCCACGTGCTTCAGGTACAGCTCTTCCTGCAGGGGAAAACAACCAAAGCCAAGGGCACTTGGAGCAGCTGCCTCCTCAGTTTAGTGTTTACATCACTTTTCCTACCATTTGAACGTTCCTTTTCCCAGCTTGGCTAACAGCCCTGAAACAAAACCCCCAGATTGTCTCTCTTTTCCCATCTCTCCTGCTGAGGGAAAACATAAAAACCAAACGTGTGTCAAAATAAAGAAGACTTCATCTGCTGAATGGTTCACTATTAGTGATGTGAGGAGGGCAAAATCTGAGTACTGTGTGTCTGTCTTGCCTGTGAAGACTTGAGTCTGTTAAACAAACATTCCCAGGAGAATCACAGAATTGTTTAGGTTGGAAAAGATTTCTAGATCACCTAGGAAGTCGCTGTCACCTGATATTGATGGTGTGGGACACAAAAGGCACATGGAAGCTCCTAGAAACAGCTTCCTTGGCTAAAGACGAACTGCTAACAGGAACAGGCAAATTCCAGGCTTCCAAAAGGAGGGAGGGAGGGGGATTGGGGATCTCGGAATGCCCGGGGCTGGCCGTGCCCGCGGGGCTGTACCTTGCTCTTGTACTCCTCGATGGCGCCCAGGTTGGGGCGGAGCTGGTGGCGCTGTGCCTCCAGCAGCGCGATTCTCTTGCTGAGCACGTCGGGCTCCTGCAGCGCCTCCAGCTCCTCCTGGCTCAGCACCCGCAGCTCCTCGGGGGCCTCGCCCTCGATGTCGTGCAGGGATAACTTGGAGATCTGCAATGCAAACACAGCGCCTGGGAAGCTGTAGCAAACGCGTGGAGCTGTTTCTAACAGGAGGTTTTTCTGGGTTACTACAAGAAAGCTTCTGATCTCCAGACACTCCAAGATTCTTCCCACAAGTCCCTTTAAAAATAGGATGTGAAAAAGAGAATACATTCCCTGTATCCTATTGTCCTGGTCCTGCATACACAGCAATAAGATGGGGTCTGAAGAGGAATTTTCTCCCAAGTGCTCTGTTTTCTAAGGGGATTTTGAGGGTTCATCCTGAGATCCACAGAGCAGCTGTGGCTGCCCCTGGATCCCTGGAAGTGCCCAAGGCCAGGACAGGGCTTGGAGCAACCTGGGATAGTGGAAGGTGTCCCTGAATGAGCTTTAAGGTCTCTCCCAACCCAAACCATTCCACAAATTCCCTGACATAAGTTTTAGGAACTAAACCATTCCCTACCTCCTTCTGCCAGTATTTAACCTTTCCCTGGTGGGTGGAAATGTGGCTGTCGATTTGTTCAATTTTCAGCTTGATGCTCAGAGCCTCACTCTGAAGGGCATGTTCAGCATCTTGAATAGTTTTCATCTCCTGGAATAATTTCTTCTGCTCCTCCTGCACTGCTGGCAAAGCTTCCTGAATAGAAAAATGGCAAATGCCCCCAGAAAGGGCATTAATCAATCACCCACAAAAATGCTGCCCCTTTTTTGCGTGCAAAGTGTGTTTTCACTTAATTTACTCACGGCTATGGATGGAAACAAATAAATATTCTTGGATTTATAACCTATCCCCGAATTCTGGAATGACTGAGAAAATGCTGCAGTTTGTATTTTCATTCCAGATCTGAATCAAATGGGTCCTACACTCATTTTTAGCTGATTAAATACATCAAATCTTAGATTTATTTGAAAGCATTTCAACCATCCTGGTTTTGCCCTCTCTCACAGAGATCTAGATGGGAAAATCCCACATAAGTGGAAAAATTTATGTTTAAGCGACTTTTAAACCCAGCAATTTCTTTGGGGAGACTTAGGATAAATTTCCAGGTGAGTATAAAAAATAAAAATACACCATTGCCACAGCCTGGCTGCTCTGCAGAGAGAATGGGTATCAGTGGGATACAGGGAGGATTTAACTCCTCTCCCTGATTTCCCTGGAGCCCAAAGTGGTCCCAGGACTCACCTCAGCCTGCCTGCACTCGTTCATCACCTCGGTGGCTTTTTCCTCCAGTGCTGTCAGCTCTGCTGTCAAGTTCTTCATTTCCTTCTCGTTTTCTTCCATCTCCTTCTGCGTGCGCTGCAGAGCCTCCTCAGATTTCTTCAGGTTCCTGCCCAGGGACAGGGAGCTTTGTGCACCTCACAGCAAATAACCCAGGAGCACAATTTCACTGGCAACAAGGAGGAAGTGCTGGTTTAGGCACCAGCTCCCACACTCCAGAGGAATCCAAGGAAAATAAAGTTGTCTTCCTCAGCAGCCAGACCTCACTAAATGACTTCATTTCTTCTTTAGGAGTTTGGAATCTCTATGGAGTAGTGAGCTCCCATAAAAAATAGATCCCATTTTATTTCCTGACAGAGCTCCTAATAAGATCAGTCCCTTCAGATTTGAACTGCTCCAGCACATCCAGTCCAGTGCTATTTTGGACTTTCTCCTAATATTTCAGTTTAGGTAATATTCAAGAAATAATTCAGGCAAATACTAGAGAAATGCTGACTAAATGTGACTGTTAAACCATTAGAAAGTACAAAATTTGACTTCCCTTTCCCTCCCTGAGCCCCGCTTAGCACAGACACTGCGTGCTCCAGCCTGGGGCTCCCTGTGCTGTACCTGTCTGCACTCTTGGCTGCCACCTGAGCCTTGGTGATGGCTGAGGAACATTCATCAATTTCCTTGTCAATCTTATCGATTTTGTCCTGCTGAGCCTTCAGCTTCTGGTTGTTGGTGTCCATGATGAGCTGGTGCAGCCGTTTCACCTCCTCCTCCAGCTTCCCAGCCTGCTCAGCCACACGCCCATAATCTGTGCGTGGAAAAGGGGAGTCAGGAGCCCTGTGCCAGCCTGGCACTGCTCAAGGGCACCAGGATTGAAGGGATACAGTCATGGAAGTGATTTCAGATGGAAGCTCTGCTCTGCTTCTCTACTGAGAAGTGCACATATCCCCCACGTTGTGACAAATGACCACAGTTTAACAGACAAACAAAATCCACCCGCTTCTTTCTGCCACTGCTCCACCAAAGCTCTCCTGCCACAAAACCCACTCAACATGGATTAGTTAATGTGCACAGAGTACTTAAATACATGAGGTGGTGCATTAGAGGTTACTCCAAGCTCGTTGTTTGCATTTAATTAACAGGAAGATGCTCAAAAGGTAAATATCAAGAACTGGCCAGAAGCACTTCCCAGGAGTTGGTGTGACTGTGTGGTTCCTGCCCC